CATATCAAGAATCCTACCTTCTGGACAATTTACTATTAAGAACCTACGGTCAATGGGGATCACCTTCCCCTTTTGTAAGTAATCAACAAAATGCAATAAATCCATTAACTTAAAAGAACCAGGCTTGTCAGTCAGACTTGGAAATAAGTTTATTTGGTTACAGGTATTTAAGGCCTAAAATTTGTTTTCAAGATAATACAGTTTCCTATCAAAATCTCTTATCTAAAGGCAACACTTAGCAGTAATTGCTGTTGCATTGTTAAGGGTTACGCTGTAAATAAATACAAAGGTATTTACAGTTCAACCTTATTACCTCGCTTTTGAGCTGTGCTTCCCTTCGAAAGCAATAGTCCAGTGTTTGGAAAACACCTTTAGCAGATGGAATGAACTGGGGGGAGTGTGTCATCTTAGAACGCGCTGGCTTAGAATACGTTTATTTAAGTATGGCATAGTCTTTACTTTTTAGTGCTAGTACCTCTACGAAGATTACCAGGCGCCTTATTTACATTTATTTATTTGCTAAGTTGGGTAAGAGAGCCTTAAACGCTCCATCGCTCAGTTGCGGTAAAGCTGATGAGGAGAACGAGCAAAGTTGAGTGCCTTCGCTCCGGGGACATACTTTAATTTCTGCTCCCCGTTTTTCACCAGGAAAGGGAAATAAAACGTTACCTATTCTCGGTCGGGCTCACTTTCTGCTGCCCATCGTGCCTCTCTCGGTACCGAGCGGGGGCAGCTGAACTGGCGGCTCCCACCCCCCGCCGCCTCCTTGGGAGCGGGACTGCCGGGCCAGAGGCACGGCGGGGCTTTCAGTGCCTTACGACCCCGCTCCCTCGCTGAAAAGGGGACCCTCGGCGGGGCAGCTCCCTCCGCCTTGGCAGACGGGTTTGCTAGCGGGTGCCTGCATAATAAGACCATTCCTGCCCCCCGTCATGTATTTAAAATAAGACTTAAAGAAGGCAAAGGCTAGAGGAGATTGAGTCTGCTATTTGCCTGTTATTTTTGTTGCGATCAGGCGCCGGCTTTCCTGTAGTTTGGGTTTTCTCAGCGGTCTGCAGTGGTAGGGTGTTTGTGGCGAAAATAAATAGGGGGGAACGCAGTTGTCAGCCCGGCTGTTTAATAACCCGTTGCATTGTCAGTGGTGCTGCTCGGCTGGGGAAGCTTGGGGGGGGCCGTGCGTAGTTTGAACAAGTGCCGTGTGTAATTAGTGCTAATGCTCGGGGCGGTCCGCGGCCCTCTGCCGCGGGGAGGCCGCGCAACTTGCGCTACCCGTGACCCTGGCTGCAAAAGGGCGGGCGGTGTGGGCTCGGCGGGACGGGAGGGCGGCTCGCAATCAGGGACGGGGGGAAAAGGGAAATTTCCCTCTCGGTCGCAGGTAGGTCGTGTCGAGATCTTCTGCTCCCGGAGGGGATCCCTTTCCTGAAGTGACGTGCGTGGTGGCGGCGGAGGTCACCTCCTGCTTCTCAGTGCGACGGGCTGGCTCACCACACACGCGTGCTTCGTCTTGAGTTTTAAAAACATTGTTTTATTTATATTATTATCACAATCATAACCATAACCATAATTACAATCTTTTTTTTCTCCTCCTCCGCACAGAAATTGATCACAACGAAAATGAGATTAGGAGTGCTGGCTGTCGCCGCGGTAGGCAGTGAAAAGCGCGGACTTGGCCGCGGGAGGCTTGGCCGCCCGCCGGGCGCGCAGTTCTGTACCGTGGGTCCCTATGCGACATTGCAGGGACGGGGGTCGGGAACTCTGGGCTCTGCCGGGCCGGAGCCTTCATCGTGAGGCATTGCGGCTGCTGCTGGGATGGGAAAAATCCAAGCGGGCTCCCTAGAAACCTTCCCGGGCTGGGGCAGCGCAACTGGGAGGCATGGAGTGGGACATCTGCCCGCGGGCCACCATGAACTGCGGGCGGTGGGGCCCAGCGTGGGGCACGAACCCTTTTTCCTCTTTGCGCACAGGAGGCAAACCCCTGCGTCCTTTCTGACCTGTGATTGTCTCCCAGCAGAACTGGGCCTGCCCTGAACGCCAAAAGAGATGTGGTGTGACCTTGCACAGCGGTGGGCACGGGACATGCGTCCGGGCAGCAGTTGAGAGGTGTCCCTGTAAGGCCTCGACATCTGTGGTGGCAGCCCCTACAGCAAACGGGGACATTTGGCCCCAGCCATGCCTGCGGAGAGGTCATTTAGGCGCCAGGTTAGCACGGCGCTTTGTGGGGGGTTTTTTTAGCTCAAACTGATTTTTTATTTTTCCAAACTGTTGCTTTGCTTTTCATCTATAAAACAAAACAGGTTATTTTTGTTTGTTTGTTTGTTATTTTCTTTCTTTTTTTTTTTAATAGATTTGAAGAACAATTCTATTTATGTGTTTGTTCTGGTGGTTTCTCATTTGTAGTCGCTCATCTGTCACTTAAACTGTGGAAAATGTAGAGAGGAGGAATATTCTCCTTTCTAAGTTTCCTCCTTAGAATTTATTCTTAAAGTATTTACAGTTCCTATTATGTTCTACAAAGGTCATAATCAAAAAATAGCAAAGAAATGTGTGCAAATAGTCGAGAGGGCATGGATTAAAACCCCTTCCCTACTGCCAAAGGCCAGGTCAGACGGAGAACATGGTGGGGCTGTTTTATGGATGGAGACATTTAAGGGAGTGGTTCCAAATCTGCATTTTATGATATAAAGGGTCTTTTCTGATAGCCAAGAAGCTTGTCTATCACAAAAAAGAGAAGACGTTTCGAAGTTAGCGGCGATTTTCATAGCCGGGTTCAACTTCTTAATACTGTTTGTAATTCTGGGGCATTTTGACCAGCTGCTTGTACGCTGCTCTCACCTTCCCGAAAGTACGCCGCTGGAGCAGGACAAGCTTAGAGTTTCACCCTGTCCTCCGGAGGCTTGGCTTGGACGTTTCGAGTGAGTCGTGCTCGGCGCACGGGGAAGCCAGTGCGGGTTTTGCGGGAGGTGCCACTGCGCGAAAAGGAGCCGGTGGCTCCCGGTCGGGGGCTGTGCGGCTGTCCGCGCCCACGTAAAGATGAGCGTGAGGTAAGAGTGCGCAGTCTTTATTACGTCGTTTGATTGCGTAGGCAAAAGCGTGTAGTGCCGAGGCGCGCACATGGCTCCACTGCACAGCGCAGGAGAGCTGCGGTGCGGCCCCTGGAAGCTCTTCCCTGTCCACTTCCCGAAATAAACCATTTCAACAGCGACGGCTAATTGAACATTAGCTTTCAATTAATTTCACTCGTAAAGTAATTTAAACTCCTTCGCATACTCAGTCCATTTCCCTCCCGTCTCCCTGTGCTGGGACCGAGTGTGTTAGCTAAATTCATCCACACTTTGAGATGAGCTGATACTTTGATTTGTTTTTTTCAGATTTTTTTTTTTTTTTGGGGGGGGGTGTTGGGGTAATTTTTGTTTTGTGGATTTTGGTGGGGATTTTTTTGACTAGGAGGGAGATCAGTAGCACTGTGGTGGGCGCTGTCAGGGCGTCCGAGGCTGAGCTGTTGCTGCGCGGGGGCGCAGGTAGCGCGCAGCCGGGGTAGCGCGGAAGGGGAGCTCGGGTTTACGCGGTAAGCTGCGCAAGAGACTGGCGAGCCTGAGGTGTGGTGTAAGGGAACTGCTTGGAGCTTCCCGGGGACGAGCGCGGGTTTCGATCGGTAATTTGGCCACAAGCTCACGGGCTGGGAGGGCACCCGTCATCATTCCTCTATAGTTTTCTCCCCCAGCTTTTTTTTCCTTTTCCCTTCTGCCTCGCCTCCCCGGCGTCTTGTCTGTTGTGAATCCGCCCCAAAGGTGATGCGGTGCCACGGTGAACGTAGCCCTCCTGGTTTAATTACGCTGGGGCTCATAAAGCCATTCGCTTCTTTCCAAAGTAATAAACAAACGTCGCGTTAGGTCAAGATTGATGGTGTCCATGCAATAAAAACGGGCCAGGTCAGGAAGGAATAAAATTCAATCAGAGCTCGCGGAATCATTTTTCAGGGGACA